TGTCCACATCAGATCAGAGCGGCAGAGTGTGGTTTTCCATAACATAAAGCTGTGAAACAGTCAAATATCCAGAACATAACTAAGCAAGTCATTTCCGGTGTAACTCATGTTTTGGAAGTGACGTTGATACCTTACTTACTGTAATTTAAAAGGGGATCCAGTAATGGATTGCATTTTATTGTCAGGCCAACACTTTCTTATGGGTCCAAAACGAAACAGAAGACCACTATTAAATAAGGGAAGAACAGATAAGCATCTTTTTTAAAAAGAGGAAACTAAAACCTCCTCTTTGCATGCATCTAATGGTGAATGATTTTTCTTCACACACAGACTTAGAATAAAGCTCAGAACAGACAGTGTGTAGTCTCTACATGCTTAGCACATCCTCTGAAACACACAATTACAGGTGTTTTGGCGACAGCAGCAGTAACACTGGCTGTTGAAGAATGTTCTAGTGTCTGTGGAAAGGAAAACCAGGGCACATAACTGATCCAGAGTTAGCTCTTAACGTATGTCTGGTCCCTTTTATTTAAAGGTTGCTGCTGCGTTAGAGACATTGGATTGAAAAGAAAGCAAACCACATTCTTTGCTTATTAATAGTTTTATTTCCTTTTTCACTGTTAAACTTAAGAGGATAAATCACCACAAAGTTGCAGGCATCATTTTATAGTACAGATGATTGCTTATTTTCAGGAGAAAGAATGAAAATGGCATAGGACATACTCAAAATTATGGAGGAGGTTCTGGCTACCAGGTAATAAAAAAGGTAAAACTCAGTGCCTTGGATAAAGATGGGGCAGTGGTAGATGCCATGATGCTACATGCTTTTTGCTTACAAAGCAAATCCATAGCCATCTCGTTTGGGACAGCCGTGTCTCTCTACACCCTCATGATCAAGAAGGATGTGAACATCATTACACTTTTCACAGATATTCCCTGGAAAGCTTCTTGCCCAGGAAAATCAATGTGCTGATTCATTGACTTGGAAGCCCGTTTTGACTCAACTACACCCAACCTGCTCCGAACTCAAGAGACAGTTTTCGTGTGCACAAAAAGGGCGTTGCTCAAAATGTAGCTGTCACGTAGGTCCAGACATAAAGCCCAAGGAAGTTCCCTTGGGCTGTTCAAAGTGGGAGGCTAAAAACGCCCGTGGAGGAGGAGGGCAAGGGAAGAGGGCTTTGGGTGGGCTGCGTGTAGGACAGAGGAAGACCTGCTTCTTAAGTCTGCAGGCCACGCACAGCCGCAGCAAAGGCGTGTTAAGCCCCACGGCAGCTTTGCACCTGTAGAGACAGCAAACTGGTATTTCTGGACTTTTTGCCTTCTCAATACTCTGTCTAGGAAGTGAAGTGAATCAGATCAATTTGGTCAGACATTTCTAGGGGGAAGAGGGTTGATGCTTTCCCCTTTCTGTCCTCTTATATTCACTCTTCAAATCTACCTAACATAGTCCCCTTCTTGCTTCGTAACGTATTAAACATCACATTCATGAGTTGTTTTCCCTTCGAGCTCCTTGCTCGGCGGCTCCTGACTGAATTAGCAATGGCTTGGATGCACACATCATTCTGATACATATCTTCTATACTAATTAATAAGATGTTTGCTATACATTAAGCAACATTTATTGAATAGCTATTGTTCGGCAGAACCTGGACTGGTCACACGGTACAGAGAGGCCAAAGGACCCATTTTGTATCACCAAGGAGCTCAGAATGTAGGCAATGGCTTGCTCTGTAAATTGCCAAGTGGTGAGCCATTTTGGACATATCAAGAAAGCAATAGTATTCTGGAGATAATCTTCACAGCCAAAGATTGGGTTACTGATTCTAATCTGGGTGGGGAAAGTATTCTTGTTTCTCTGTCAGGGAGAGCACTGCCTCTTTTTATCTTTGCCTTGCAAGTGGGAAATTCTGCGCAGCTGAGACGGAATCACCTTGGGTCTTCGGGCGATCATTTGGGCCTGGCCTGAGTGGGTGGGTCAGAGCTTTGTTCAATCTCTGTGGTTCTACAAAAAATCGCAGAGACTAAATTACACCAAAACGTTAGGGTGTCCCCTTCTGGCCATCCAAGCCACTGTTGTAGTAACAATGACAATAGTAACAATGACAGTAGAAACACCTGCCCATTCTGGAGTCAGTCAATAAACAGGGCGCTTGCAAATTCTAGAGCATACTCACTCACGACCTTTCTCTTATTTATGCATTCTGATTCTTTCAACTCGAGTCAGAAAAACAGAGTAGAAAGTTCCATTTCTAAGAGGAAAAGGTCTACTGTCCTCAGACCAATCTCTTGGCTCTGGAATACTCACCCCACATCCGTCTTGGTAGACTGCTTATGTCTTGAACACCTACACGATCTATGAAAACAGAGTGGGAGAGTGGGACTGAAGTCTTAGCGGGAAGTAGTAGAATATATGTGAACTCGTGATGAGCTGAGGTTGGCACTACTGAACCCAGTTTGCTATGCATTACATCGAAGAAACAAAATTCTTTTAGAGGTGATGATAGAAGTAAGGTTGTTTGGGCTGAAGAAGGGAAAACTGTCTGGATCGCTCTACTCTACATAATTTTAGCCCCACCCGAGAAATAGCATCGGAAAATCAAATGACATCTGTCACCCTGCAACTCTATTTTAAGCTGCTCGGGCCTCGGGGGATGGCCGTGGACTGGAGGGGTGCTTGAGACAGTGCAATTCCAAGCTCCCCCACACGTGGCCGGGGTTCCTTAGATGCCTGGGAGTGAAAGATAAGACACGGTATGACACCCGCTTCGTCGCCGGTGCCGGAGCTGTGGCCCCCTCCTCCCGGGCTGGACCGCAGGCGGGCAGCTACTCACGGGCATGAGCAACGATGCCCCTCTCCAGAGCCAGGCCAGCGGAGGAAGCGGACGAGCCCCAGACCCTCAGCCTCTGCCTTCTCTAGCTCCTACGCCTCGGTTTTTTTTCTGCTAGAGTCTAGGACAATGACCTGCGGCAGGCTGAGCGTAAACAGCTCAGAGAGTGGAGTCTGAATTTGGATGATTCAGAGTTATATGGAGAAGTAGCAGAGAGCGCAGGATGGAGAGAAAAGACCCGAGAGTAGGAGCCAGGGCGCTCACGTCTCCCCCTCGGCAGGCCTGGCGGGCGGCGGCGGGGGAACGTGTGTGTGCCGCGAAGCGGGGTCCGTGAGTGTCGCTTCTGTTGGTCTCCCCGACCCTGTCGTTCATTCAAAGCGGCTGTTCACGAAAGCTCTGTGGACCCAGTTCACAGGGCACGAGACAGGTTGAGTCCCGGTTGGGGATGAAGCCATTGGGATGTGTGGGAGGGCGGGATACATCATGAACGACGGGGCCTCCGGGAGGGGCCCGGGGACCCAGGCCCCAGACACACTCGCTCCACTGTCGCTCACTCTCCTGCCTTCTCCATATCCCAAGGCCTCTGTCTTCTTATGTTTCCTTGTCTGCACATGACCTCAAATTTGTACCCAACTTTCTATACACAGGCTGTCAGCAATATTAAAAAACAATTCCCATCCGCAAGAAATTCAAATGCAATTGTGTAATGAAACGGCCACCGAAGAGGACCTAGGCGACGGCTTGTTTTTTTTTTTTTTCCTTCTTCTGCTGTTATGACTACCCGAGGGACGAGGGTCAGGAGATAATCATGTTGAAGTGGAACTGTTAAGAAACTTCCAGGCCTGCCCAAGCTCAGGGTTTCTCTGTTCCTTCCATTTAATTGTCTCTAATTGTTGAAAAGGACAGGAAACAGCCCTTCTGAGTGGGAGGCAGGCTAGGACTCTCAGAAAGGATGGGAGTTCCGGACACACTGGGAGGCTTGAAGTGGCACTTATGTGTTTATTACTGCCAGGCCAACTCCAGGAATAAAATAGGCCCAACTGCCACTAGACGCCTCGCAGGTGGACAGCGCAACATTCTGGAGTTTGCTACACATGTTAGCAAATGCTCTCTGGATTTTTTGGCGCTTTGGTTGAACGTGGGAAAAAAACAACAACGCAACCCCTTACACTAACTGGCTTCTTCCCGCCCTTCTCGTGAATCCCAACAGAGCGGTGCAGGACTGTTTTGCTCCGACCCCACCAGGCTGAACTGAGAGAGGCCTCAAAGCGTTGACTTTTTATGACCGGGCAGAGTGGGGGCCTGCTGGGAGCAGCTGACTTTCCCGCCTCCGCCGTGGCAGGTCAGCACACCCTGCCCACTGCCCCGAGGGCCTCAGAGTCCTTTCCCAGGACGCCATGAATGAAGACCGAAGAGTCCTACTGACCAACACGAAATAAACACTTGGTGAAGTGTGCATAAATATTTCTTCATAGAAACGTAACACAGAATCAAACAGTCCAGGAACACAGACACCAGTGACCACACACCCACGCGTAAGGCTGGCTGTAAGCACCTGCCCACACTGAACAGGAAGCAGCTTCCACCCTGGCTCCTTGTTCTAGCAGGAGGCCTTGCACAAAGGGAGTCCCCAGCTCCCTCCCCACCACACCACCCCGGCGAAGGGACAAGAAGGGACCCCAACAACTGTAGCGGCAACACAGATGACAGCAAAAGCAGCACCCCACTCCCCCACCCCCCCAGAACATGTAGCGTTTGGTCAATTCGGAGGATACAAAATTGTTTGGGGGAGACACAAGGGGATGGAGCCAGAGTCCTACGTTTTCAAAGTGAAAAAGTGACTTCCTAAAGGCCACCTCTCCTGGGCAAAGCCCGCGGCGGACACCCGGACACAACGGGCCTGGCCAGGCGGACGCCTTTTTCGTCTCGCCGCGAGCTTGTGCGTGCCACTCGGGGGACCCCGTTACTGAGTTTCGAGCGGGTTAGCCGGCAAGAGTTTTGTGTGGGAAGATTCGGACCTGGAGGATTAATTCAAACACGTGGCGTGGCTCGTTCTGGGCGCTCCGAGGGGCCCGGCTTTGCCTGCCCGGCGGGCCCATCGGGCTGGACGGTCCACACCGACCAGCCGGCAGCACCTGCCCTCTGCCCACACTCGCTAGGGCGGTTCGTGGAGCACAGCCCCGGCCTCCGGAACACTAGCATCCGGGGTCATCTCGCTTTTCTACCGTGCCAGGATCCTGGAGGGGGTCGGTTACCACATACTGATAGCACAGGCAGCGGGGACGATTTGCTAGCCGCGTGACTCCTCTTACAGTATATACACTACGGGTGGTGTGCAGCATTCACACACGTATATACTTCTATATTTTTATTTGTATGAAACTCGAACTGCACAAAACAGTACTTTGCAAGAATCAAGTCCACAAAGAGAGTTTAACAACACACCAAAGAGAAGACGGGAAGCTCGATCGGGACAAGGAGGTTCAGCCTTGCAATGTGAGAAATCATGTCGGGGCCGTGGGCTCACTAGGCTGAGGTGCTCCCCGCGGGACCGGACCGGACGGGGACCGGGTGTCCCCTCAGGAAGACCGCGGCCACAGGGGTCAGTGAGTTGCGCTCACCTGACATTCCGGAGCTTAGGGGGGAGTTGTTCAAAGAACCGAGCCGAAGAATCTGGGTGAGGAATTGCTAGGAAACACCTTTCTCCCTCTGTCAGAAACCCACGTCTCCTTCGGACGTGGCTACATTTTTTGGACATTCAGCAGTACGCGATTTTTTGCTGACGCGGCGTTTGCCTTTCTGTGGGAACACGGGTTTACTCAGCAGGTCGGCAAACCGGCAGCTGCCTTCACCTCTGGGCGCTGGACCCCTCGCCAGGGCCGCCGCAGTCTGCCCGGCCCTGCGCCCTCCTCCGCCCAGGCGAGCGGCCGCTGGGTGCGTGGCGACTGCGCGCGTTACACGGCCTGGTCGGGCCCGCGCTTGTGGAAGACGACCGACTGTCTCTGCTGGTACTGCTCCCTGCGCCGCTTCCGCTTGTCACACTGGCACAGCAGCAGCATCTTGAAAGTGGTTCTGAAAGTCTTGTTGCACAGGGCGTAGCACACGGGGTTCACGGTGCTGTTGATGTAACACAGCCAGTAGCCCAGATTCCAGTACGTCTTGGGAATGCAGCTGTCGCAAAAGGTGTTCACCAGCACCATGATGTTGTAGGGTGTCCAGGTGACGATGAAGGCCAGCAGGATGGCGCTGAGCGTCTGCGCCGCCTTCTTCTCCTTGATGAGCGACATGCGCTTGCGCTTGGTGATCTGACTCCTGGTCTTCAGCGCGAACCTCTTGGCCAGCGTGGCCTCCTTGAAGGACAGAGGTAGCGTGGCCGCGGTCTTCCCCGCCGAGGCGTGCGCGTCCGAGGCCTTGGCCGCGTCCACCGCCGACTCCAGCTGGATGGGAAGCCGGGAGAAGCTCTTCGGGAAGCTGCCCCCGCCGTCCAGGCTCTTCTGGGCCTGCAGCTTGCCGGCTCTCCTCTCCAGGTTGGCCATCCCCAGCCCCTCGGCAGGCACCTGCAGGTTGTCCGAGGAGGGCAGCTTGGTGGAGTTGAGAATGGTGCTGTGGCCGGGAAGCTTCAGCACGATGGAGTAGATGGCTCTGGTCTCCGAGCCCAGGTCCTCCTCGTCCGAGGAGGTGGAGTTCTCCAGGGAGGCGGCAGCGTCGTTGTTGTTCCAGCTGTCGCTGCTGCTGTGCTCTGGGTCCATCTGCTCGGCGCTGGGCTTCCAGCTCTTGGTGCTGAACCAGAAGTGGCAACTCCCGAACTTCCTTCGGGCGGAGCGCTTCGTGCTCTGCCGCTGCAGCTCGTAGCTGCTGCAGCTTCGCGAGCTGCCTGTCGGGTGGACAAAGTTTTCTGCCTCCGCGTCTGTGCCGGAGGCCTGCAGCCCGGCGAGCTCTTTGGTGCGCTTCTCGGTTTCCTTATAGATCCTCCAGTACAAAATAGTCATGATGGTGACCGGCATGTAGAAGGCCGCGATGGCTGTGCCGAAGGTGATGGTGGGCTCGCTGAGGAACTGGATGAAGCACTCCCCGGGGGGCACAGTTCTCTTGCCGACGAAGTACTGCCAGAACAGGATGGCGGGAGCCCAGAGCACGAACGAGACGACCCACGCCAGACCTATCATCACTCCGGCTCTTTTCGTTGTTCGTTTGGCTCGGTACGTGAGGGGCCTTGTGACGGAGAAGTATCTGTCAAAGCTGATGACCAGGAGATTCATGACCGAGGCGTTGCTGGCCACGTAGTCGATGGCCAGCCAGAGGTCACACGCCAGGTTCCCCAGAGCCCACCGGTTCATGATGATGTAGGTGGTGAACAGATTCATGGAGATGACCCCGATGATCAGGTCGGCACACGCCAGGCTCAAGAGGAAGTAGTTGTTGACCGTCTTCAGCTGCTTGTTGACCTTAAAGGCCACGATCACCAGGATGTTGCCGATGATGGTCACTAACGCCACCACGCCTGTTAAGAACGCAATGAAGACCACCTGCCAGATGGCGTGGCCGCCCAGGGGGTCGCTGGCGGTGTCATTCGGAGAGGAGAAGTTCCCAGCTGCTCGAGAAACGTTGTAGCTGCCAAAGTGCGGGGCTGCCCTGGAGGGCAGGCCTGTCTCCGAGGGACCCTGTATCCAGGCAGAGCTGATGTTTGGGAACAAAGGCAAGGCTGTGTTGTTATCGTGCAAGGTCATCGTGACACTCTGACATAGTCTGTGGAGAAAGAGAAACAAGATGGTGTTAGGACATCGGTGTGTTCCTTGCACGGCATGCTTTAAAGAGCGTGGAGGCTGAGTGTTGGCTGCTGAATTTCAAAGTCGCCAAAACCGTCAAAGCTCTGGGTTTACAGGTGAAGGGCCTCGGGCAAGCAGAGCCTGGTCAGTTCAAAGCAGCACAATGAGCGGGTCGGGTGCTGGCTTCCTCCCTCACTTCCCACTTTTGTAAACATGCGTTTCCACAGAATGTTATTTTTATTTTTAAAAAGATGTGTTCATTTGTGCATACAGAACTGGGGTACAGGCCAGAGGTGGGGGGTGGGTGGGGGGGTTCACCAGAGACAGAGCGGGGAGCCGAAAAGGCAGATGGACTGGAACACACTGCTGAGGGGAGCAGCGGGGAGACAGATGGCATCTGCTGCGCCCTGGGGGTCCCTCCCTGGCCGAGGATGGACTCGCGCTGCAGGGGCTGTGGACGGCTTCACAGTGCTGCGCTCTGACCCCCTGCACCACCAGGGAGGGCCCCGCAGAATGCTCTTATCAAAAAAGTTGTTCTTTTTCTCAACAAGTCACTTCTTATTTCAAAGACAAGGGGAAAATACTAGAATCTTAAATAATCCTGATCCAAAATAGCTTCACAAGGACACTGTCGGTACACTGATCTCTGCATCTGGACTTGATCCACCTCTGTTTGGCCTCTGACGTCAGAAACTAACTGTAAGGTGATTCTAGCCGCTTAGCGTCAGGGACGTCTGTTAGCGGTCACCCCCCGGCCAGTCTTCTGGAACCGGTCTGACGTCCACAGGGTGTCTTTTGGGTGGACTGGTCTGCACTCCTCTAACTCAGCAGTGGGTCTGAAGAACACGCACAGGGGAGCATGACAGTAACCTGGGAATGCCAGAACCAGGGTGGTCTTCCGTTCTCTGGGCCCCCAGGTGCTGGTGGCCCTGTTTGTACCCACATGGGGAATCTGACAAACCGAGGGCAACGCGGGAAAGAGAGACGGGGTGGGGGTGAGCCGCACCATCACGCTGCGCTGTCAAAGTGGGCCCAGTCACTCGTGACGTCAGTTCTGCCTCCTTGACCTTGTCAAGTAAGGAACAACCGTTTCCTGTCAGTTCGATTACCTGACATAAGGTAATGCCACCTGCAACCGTCACTGTCATTATTGGCATCAATACTGCTCACGTTGGTAAATCCAATAGCTATGTTGTTTGCTCAGTGGACTGACATTAGTGAAGAACAGAAGTAGGGAATTTGGAAATAGACCAAAGATCAAGTCTTCCCTTCCAGTTCATTTCACCCTGGGACTCTGTGGCACACCATACTCTGTGTGATATTCTAGTCCAGTTATGCTTGTTGAAGGATACGATGTAAAAGAGTCAGAACGGAGGACGGACATCTGCGTCCGCTTAGCACTTCACAGAGGGGTCACCACACACACCTGTTTGCTGTGCCCGGCGTCCTGACGAATCACTGGAAGCCCTGGGAATCACATGTCAGCAGGTGAGATTTCACCTGAATGCTTTGGCTTATCTACCAGTGGACACTGTTTTCTTAATTCGTCACTATCTCAGTATCTAATACCCCTTAAAAGTTTCCGAAATGTGCTTTCACTTCTGTGTAAAATTTTCTAGTTTCTCTCCTCATGCAATGGGTATAAAGTATGAACGGACCAAAAATTTTAGTGTTACAAAAAGCCTATTAAAGGTGAATGACCTGTAGTTATTGCTCACGTATGTGTTACAGCATCCGAGGGGCAGGAGCTAGCAATTTAGTTTGCGAGTATTCAGCCCACTAGAAATTCTTGCAGGAAATGTGAACAGAGATGTTTCCTCAACAGGACATAATTAGAAAATTCTAAAAGACTACCAGTTTGGGCTAGAAAAAAATTTGGTAATACATAAATGGGAATACTATACAGCAGGTAAAAATCATCTAAGTTCTAAAACTACATTATTGAAAAAGAGAAGTAAGTTGTGGCGTGATGAGTACAACAGGATATGATCTAGGTAACGACAAAACATATACAGCAACAGTATATATCTTAGATAAATATTTATATATTTAAAATGAAGAAATGATTTAATAGCAGTGACGTCTTAGACAGGAAACATGATTAGGGTTGAAAGTGACAGAGAAAGGGGACTTTAACTTAATGGTAATGCTCCTAATGAGGAAAAGAATAAATAGGTTTCTAAATAAAGAGAAAGTTACATGGAGGAAGAATTATTTTTATTACTTATTTTTAAATAAATAATTTATTTTTAATGGAGATTAATATTGGGGTATAGCGATCAACTATTAGCACCACTGTGCACCCACCCTTACCACCCATATTCCACCACCAAGGGTGCTATGCTTCCTTCTGCCTATTCTCTTATCCTCCACCTTCCCCCTTGGTGTTTAAATCCTGTAGTCAGCTATCATGGGTTCGTTTTTCAGCTTGTCTTCATCTGACTATTAGTTACGTTAGAGTCCACATATTAGTGACACCATCCAATGTGTGCCTTTCTCCTGACTTATTTCACTTAGTGTTATCTTTTCAAGTTCCAACCATGTTGCCACAAATGGCATGAGCTTATCCTTTTTGATCGCCGAGTAGTATTCCACGGTGTATATACTCCACATCTTGATCTACTCATCTGTTCTAGGGCATTTAGGTTGTTTCCATAGTTTGGTTACAGTAAACAGAGCTGCAATTAACATGGGGGTGCTACTTTCCTTTTGAATTCATGTTTCTGAACTTTTGGGGTAGCTGCCTAGGAGTGGAAGATGTTTGGCCTTCTGAGGCACCTCCAAACTGCTTCCCATAAGGGCCATATCAGTTTGCATCCCTGCAGCCATGTAGGAGGGCTCCCCCTTTTTTTTTCTTTTTTTTTTTTGGTGGAGAAAGAATGAGAAGGGGCAAGAGGGTGATGGCCACCAAATAGGACCTGTCGCTTCATTCTGCAATGCATACGCTTCCAAGCCACCTTCACTGTAATCCATTTTGAAGGACAGACAAAAGTGATGCACTTCAGTTTTTCAAGCCAGGAGCCCATCAGTGGGCTGATTGAAGAATAAAAAAAGAAAAGAAATAGAATTGAACAGCATAAACCCCAATGCCTCACCATAAGAATGTTTCCTGAAAATTGTTCAAGACACACACACACACACACATCCATGTATGTAGTCATGATGGAAATGTATTTTATACCACGGCTCACGTTTAAGATAACGTTGGAAGCCATAGAGTCCTCCATCTGGGTCGTGGAAGGCTCGTTGACTGATATTTAAAATGAGAAAGTGAAAGAGAAAATGTGGAAAACATTAAAAGTGCTAAGTTTCAGGGAAAGCAGAGTAGTGATGTGAAGTTTACTCCCTAGTTACGGAATAACATTTTCTGGGATGACAACTCTGAAAAACATCTAGCTACCTTTTTCAAATTAAAAAAGTGTAAATATACCATGCTAAAATAAAGATGCTGCGCTAGTGCACAGCGCAAACGGGAGGGATCCCTGAAAACGATGAATTCCCGGGAGGCAAGCTCATTTCCTTTCCCCTGAGCTACCCTGCTGCACAGTTCTGAAACACAGACTGGGGTCTTCATCGTGAAACTCCGGAACTCACTGGAAATATGTGAGACTTAGATTCTTCTAGAGTCTAATTCTAGAGCTAGCCTTAACGCTGGCTCTACATCACTGTTTCTTTCATTATGTAGGTCCAGGGAACAAAACTCCCAAATGTCTGCAGTTCGCACCAGGCCTTTTCCTGAGACCGGTTACCTGACGCTCCTGTGTTCAGAGTCCCGCCTGCGCCATCTCTCGGGCTGCTGGGGTCGCTCTCTGCCTGCTCCTTCTCCGTTTCCCAGTCACCGTTCCAGAAGGTACTTAGCGGTCCAGGGGCCTCTCTGCCCGCGCTCTCGGGGCGTGGGAGGCCATGCCACAGGCCGCCACGAGGGGGCAGGGCTGGCCCACAGACGCGCCTCCGGGGACCCCACCTCGCCTAGTTCAGTCCGGCACCGAGGGGCTGGGCAGGGTCCGCAGACCAACGCGTCTCTGAAGGGGATGAACCTGGCAGACGCGCACGTCAGCATCGAACCCACCCCTGGCGCTGGCGAGCAGCGAGGAGGCGCGCTCTGCAGGCTGAGAACAAGAAAGGGGGGGGGGCTTGAGGGGGGACAAGCCCGGCGAGAAGTGGGGGGCTTGTTGTGAACATGGGAGCGCAACGCAACGCTGCCCGGGCTGTTGCCTTTCACGGGATGTTTCCCTACCCGAAGCACCGAATGCAGGTGCACACGTGGGGTGCACTGGCCCCCCACTTCTCTGCAGAGCGGCCCTCAGGGCAAGCTGGAGCCGGGACTAATGACATCCGCATTGGCACGCTCAAAACTTGGGCCCTTTGTTCCTAGGATTCTGGAGAAGCGAGGAGGAGAGGTGTAGCAGTTCTTTTCAAATATTTATAGGCCCACTTTGCCCAGAGGGTCAGCTGGCTCCCTGAACTGCGTTAATTCCCTCCTGAAGGGAGACCAGGGACAGCTGGTGGGGGTCTGGTCGCCCGCCAATCCTGTGGGCTGAGAGGGATTATTTTTTCAACCTTCTGAACTGCACAGAAATAATAAATAATCTATCGTTATTTATGCTGAAGGCTGCTTTGCAGGGGGTGGGGTGCGAAACGGTACTTTCAAGCAGTGCGTGTTAGCAGGCTGGGAGCAGCAACTCCCGCTGACTGACCAGGGGAGAACAGCCCCGGAGCCCACGCGTCCCGGGCTCAGTTTATGCCGTGCAGGACACGCTGCAGAGCCTGCTTCAGCCCCGCAGTTCAGGCTGATTTAGCGAGGAGGTTTTTTCAAGGTGCAGGCACATCAGACGATTCACTTTTGTACCTGCATACAGCGCTCTCATTTGCTTAGTTTTAATCAAGCTCTTTGCACCCCAACTCACACATACAGAAGACATACCTGAAAGAACGTATACGTCACGCAGACGGTATGTAGAGTCGTGTAGATGG